AAACAATGAGAGAGTGTGTTTTATGAAGTCTTTATACCTAATAATACACATAAGAGTTAAACATGGAAGATGAATTTAAGAAATTATTTATTTATTTTGAATTGATTCTTGTAAAGGCTGTGGATCTGACATTTACTTACAAGCTGGTACATTTAGTGTAAATCTCGTAAGTCCTGGTCATCCTTCCTACTACCCATCAGGCACCTGCAAAAAATGGCGTATTACGGCTCCGTCTGGCAAACTAGTGCAATTGAAGTTCATCAGCTTTGATTTATATGGATATCCAACATGTTCAAAATCAAGTGATGACACATTAAAGATTTATGACTCATTTAGTTCAAGTAACTTGATTGGAAAATACTGTGGCAAGTATATACCAGCAAATGTGGTATCGTCTGGCCGGTACCTTTACCTGGTATTCTACAGTAACTCCAAGATCTTTTCAGCTGATAGAGGCTTCAAGTTGGTATACAATGCTATTTCTGATCCAGGTGAGTGGTCAAGTCAAAATATGAATGAAACATACTGGATGTCTTTTATGTTTAAAGAACAGCAATGACTATCATGGTAATTGATCAGCATGTACCCTCAATGTTTTTAAAAATATTAATATTACCATGAACATTTAAATACTTTTTTGATAATTTAAAGTCAATCATTTGAAGACATGTATAATGTTGCAGCTTCAAGTTTTTTTAACTACTGGTWATTGAAATTGTCTCTATTCATAGGTACTGATTCGTCAATTTGTTCACCATTTAACTCAGTCTACACTAATAAAAACATCAGATTGACAGCATCAAGTACCAGAAAGTACATCCAAAGTCCACTGTACCCTGCTAGGTACCCTAGTAACATTGAGTGTGTTTGGTACATCACTGCGTCATCAAGCTCAAAGAAAATCAAACTCACAGTGACAAACCAGAAGATTTATAATTACGCCATGTTTTCATGTAGCAGTGCCAGTGACTACGATTTCTTAAAAGTAAAAGATGGTTCATCTCTTTCTAGTTCATTGTTGAAAGAAATGTGTAGTACAAGCTATTCATCATCAAGTGTCACTTCCTCTGGTCGTTATATGACAGTGCAGTTCAAAACAAATCTTGATAACTACTATAATGGTGCTACAACTGGATTCAAAGCTGAGTTTGTTGAACTTGATAATACCAGTGGTGAGTGTCATGACAATAGTATATTACTCTAGGCAAGTGAAAAAACTAAAAGCACTAAAAGAGAAACATAGTTCAGTTAAACCAGCTATTACACTTGTGCAAATTGGCTTTTAAATGGRAATGTTTTACTAAATCTGAAATTTTACAGCCATAATACCCGGCAAGATTAGGTCTATATTAGCCATTAAATAGACTTGGAAAGTTCTGTGAGTTCTGTGTGCAATACCCTGACAATGATGTGTATGCTGACACAAAACTGATGTAGAATACTAATAATAGCTAAATTGCYTATGATGCCTGACAAAAAAATTTCTAATAATTGAATGGTGAAATATTCCTGCATTTTAGTGTTGTGTCTTTGAGTTCAATCTTACAATATGTTAATGAAAATGATATCAAAGAAGGCTTCATTAGATATACTAACTTTGAAAATGGTTTCATGTTATCAAATTTCTTATACAATATAGGGAATAACCATATTCCCAGATGGAGTTCATGAAAACATTTTTTGAGTGACTGTTTCAAAGTTCGTAATCTAATGAAGCCTCCCTTGACGTCATTATCATTAGCATATTGGAAGATTAAACCTTCAAAACTCAAAGACACAACACTGAATGCAGAATTATTTCACCATTCAATTATTTACTTTAAAGGGCTACTTGGACGAATATTGCAAAACATTAGAAAAGACTTGGAAATCAAATAGACCTATCCATATGGGTCTAATAATCACGAAGCAACAGATTTCAACAAGATATTGATAAAAATCCTTAATATTTTGGGCAAAAAATGTTGGAGTAGATGACGTCATCTACTCCAT